TTTATTTTGTTTTTTTTTTTTTTTTCAACCACAGCAATTCTCTGGAATTAACTATTGCATTTTCCCATCAATTTCACCAGAAATGACAAGTGTATGCAGTCGTGGTCAATACATCATATCTAGTCATTTTGTTAGGGGACTCAGGTATTTTTTTTGCTAGCATATGCTTCTTCTGCTATGCTATATGGAGGTAAACTATGGTATTAATAATTATGGAGAGAGAAAGGGGTAACTGGTAATAGCAGGGATATCATGGGCATCTCTGTCAGGTGCTAAATTGAACCCTTTCAGTCAATAATAATATTTTGTTATAGTTGAGATTTGAAGTCTAAAAATCGCTTTTGATTAAATTGTAAAATAGTGGTTTCCAGGTATTTTCTAAGCTGGGTTAATTTTACTTTGAAGTTCAGATACAAGACAATATTCTAGTTACTCTGATCACGTTTTTTGAAGGTTAAAGACTACATACCTCTCTTTAATTGTAACTCACTGAGTGCATGATAAAAGTACTGAATTGGACATCTGCTGCTGTCCTCTTTACCAGTGAGGCCACTTTAAAAAGCTGTCTGCTGTGCTTTCAAAGAAACCCATTGCTGTGCTTCAGTGCTGAAAACAATAGTAGAGGGCAAAGATGTAACCTCTCTTGCCTGAACGTTATATATTCACATTACATCTCCTGCAGATGAGAAACTATCATTGCAATGAAGAAGAAAACAAATTTTGGAGCAGTGAATTCTGAATTATTGTTTCAGTGAGAAATAAAGTGGCAGAACTGCCCAGTCTTAGTATTATTCATTAAGCAATTTCATTATGGCTGTATCTATCAGCCAACCACCATCAGATCCTCTTGTGCTAGACATTATAAAACCAAAAGCTGTTCTGAAGGTTGGATTATGCAGAAAAAACATTTTATACTGCTGAAGTGTGTTGCTTGGAGGAGTGCTTAACTTTTTCAGTACAAACATTTTTAGAGTAAGAAAAATGGTGTAATATTAATTTCACACAAAAGCTCAGACTATATAGGCCCTGCTACAGAGAATCAGAACATCAACCAGAATGTGTTGCTTGTGTGTGACTGGAAAGAGCCAGAGAAGAGGAAGAGACAAGTGGTCACAGCTGCAAGGGAAGGGTGGAAAATGCTGACTGAGAGAGACATGAGCAATCTTTCTGGTAGAAAACACACTGGAAGAAAGCTAGGAGTACTGAATAAATATTGAAGAAGGTATGTTCTTCCTCAAGGAAGCAGAACTTTGTCAGTGCCACTTCCAGCTCTACCCTTGGCTTGTTTTTTTGGTGGAAATAATCTGTGAGTACTGGCTTGAAAGGAGTTTGAGACATTTCTTGAGTTTGGATCAGAAGAAGAAGAAGATATTACTGGGTTTGCCCTTAAAGTTGCTGTGTGTTTGTCCTTCATTAAAAAATAAAATCAAATGACTGTGCTTTTTCTTCCTTCCAGCCTCCTGTCCAGATGCTCTGCTGCAAATCAGATGCCATGTAGGGTAGGTGTCTCTTCTTTCCAAATGTCTTGTTTAATCTCCTCCTTCCCTTCTGTTCAGTTTCTCTTATACTACAATAAACACTGGGCTTTGTCCACCAGTCTGTGTGTATATATTAGGTCCACAACCTCGTTTATAGCTATGATGACCTCTGGGAAGAATATATCACCAACTTTTCATATCACTACAGCAGTGAAAGTGAGTAAAACACAGTTGTTTTGTCTTTGAGCAATGGATTTGATGAGGAAGTTATCTTGGTAATTAAAAAACCCCAACCCCCTCCACTCCAAGAACTTTGAATGGCTTCTCTATTAATCACTACAAGGGCACCATTGACTTACCGTGTTTGTGAGAGACAAGCCCCTAACAAAGTAGACACAATTTTCTTCTAACTCAAAGAACATTCCATTTGCTAGAGTCTAATACCTTTCACTCACAGGTATTACAATAATAAACTGTGACTGAAAAAAGATAACAAATATAGGCCTGCACACCTTTAATATATGACTGAACTTTCTATGTTTACTATGCTATTTTAAGTGTAAACCAGTACTATTCAGGTCTCTGAAGGCCAGCAAGACTGGGCTAACCCAGCCTTCTGACTGATCCATCTGGTCAGAAGGTTAAAGCAGGTTAAAGCCTGCTGAGAGCCCACCACTGATTGGGTTACCAGAGGTCAGCCAAGTCAGAGTGCCCATCTCATTCCATGGCAAAAGTGAGATAAGATGGACACTTTCCCTGTGGAAATCTCTTAGGAAATGTTTTTCTCACGTTTGAAACAGCTTATGAGCAGAAACCTGGCCAATTACCTGGGTCAATCAATGGAAGCTCATCAAGGCATTGCAAATCGCCATGTATCTGCTGGGACCAATGGATGTCTTGCTTCAACCACATATCGGGAAGCTGGGCATGGCTTTTGCAGAAGAGATTTGTGGAGTGTGGATATGAGTGATTCCAAATTTCTTGCCCTGCTCTGCTGCCAAGATTTGGCTGAATCCTTAGTTGTATTCCTTGGATAAGCATTAGATGTCATTGGTCCTTCAGCATCTCTTAAATCTTGTCCAGCTTGAGCTGTGGGTTTTGGGGGGCAGGTTTATCTTTGGCAAGATGGTTGTACCACAGTGACATGCCTGGGCTTCATCTCTGGACTCGTGCCTGGCTGTGACAGAATTGCAAGCCTTTCAAGCAATAACAATGCCTTAACTTCCGGGATAAAGCCTGCAGACACCAGAAAAGAACCAAGTTAGCTCAGCAGGTGAGACCTTAACTGAGAAACAGAAATTCAGCAAAAAAATCCAACCCAAGGCTTTATTTGAGATACACAGGAGAGGATGCTGGCACCAACATGCTTACATACTGATATTCAGCTCTTGAGACAAAAGGCTGAGAAACAAGGACTTCCATGCAACGTATGGTAAAAAAATCTAAGTTAGCCCAGTCTATTTTTGTTAATTGTAATATTGAGGACTCTTCCATGGCAACAAGACACAGTGTATGGCATACAAGGAATTAGCTTCTATTACTATTATATCTATGGCATGAGACTCCTACCATAGCAGTCTTCATCTCTTGAGTCAGATGTTCTTCCCCAGGCAGAAGGAAGCCCACATGGGCTACCCACCGGTGTGCTCTTACTGCCAGCATTCAAAATCAGCACCAAAAACTGCAGACTACCTATCCACTGCCGTTAATCACTAAGGATTGAATGCAAATGTGTAAGGAGAATGTAAAGAAACAGGTGCAAGTAAGTGGAAAGTGGAATAAAACACAACAGCGCTTTGCCAAAGGTATATTTTGTGAAGCAAACCCAGTACCCTCTGTGAGCAGTGAGGTTCTTGAATAAGGAGAAGGCAGGAGATCCACCATGACTAGACCTCAGTCAGCATTTGGTACATGATTACATGGAAAGCTGTTACAGAAGTTGGTGAAGGGCTGCAGAGTGGGTAAGAAGTTGGCTAAACGGAAATGCCAGAGAGGAAACGCTTCTCCACAGAAAGATGTTCCAGAAAGACCAGGCATCATAACTATTTAAAGTTTAACAGTTTCATCCACATGCTAAATTATGAGGTGTAGTAGTGAAATTTCCTGATGGCAGGGGCTGTGAGGGACAGCCAAGAGAAAGGTCAAGGTAGCCTGAAAATGGTTTTGCCTGAACTTGAGGACTGGAATAATGACCTGAGTTCAGGCACCAAGCAACAAGTTTATGTACTTTGGGAATAAACCATAAACAAAATGTTTGAGGTGTGTAACTGTGAGTTACTAGGTAGAACTGAGAGGTGCATACTTGTGGGTCACCAAATGAGCATCAACAGTGAGAGTACTCAGGAAAATGGTCTTAAGATGAGACGGGAGATTCAGATCAGATATTAGAAGAAAAAAATTCAGTGTTACGGTGGTCAGGCACTGGAATAGGTTGCCCAGGGAAGTGTTGGAGTCACCATCCCTGGAAGTGTTTAGGGTGCGTTTAGGTCTGGCACTGGGTGATGTGGTTTAGTGATTTCGAGGTTGCAAGCAGTAGTGCTGAGTGGATGGTTGTACTTTGTGATCTTGAAGCCTCTTCCAACCTTGATGATTCTATGACAGTCATGGGAAGGGCAGTGAGACCTCAAACTAGTGGCTTTCGCCTCGGAGCTATTATTATTTCTTCTGCTCACTGCTTGGGTATATAAGGGACTTCGTGTTCCTTACAATACAAAATTGATACAAGGGCCAATCAGACGAGGCTTTTGGCCCTGTAAGAGACAACCACTAGAGACTGACAGCTCTTCTCAGACTGTGCGGCTGCTCCGGTCTCTACCAACTCCTCTCTCCGGACCCCCAGCGGAGACGTCACTCTGCTTTTTTGCAAGCCCGTTTTGCCCGTCTACTGCTCCCGCCTCCCCGGCCAAATCTCGGCAGAGGCAGGCGAGGCAGGACGGGGCCTGCCAGGCCTGGGTACCCGGGCCGCGGCGCCGCTGTGGGACCTCACGGGGCCGGGCGGCGCTGCCTTCACGGAGCTCGGGGAGCCCTGGCCGGCCCCGCTCCGCGCGCCGCGCGGGGGAGGCGGGCCGGGCCGCCGCTCCGCGCCCCATTGGCTCACCCGGGGCACCCTCCGCACTCCGCGGCGCCTCATTGGCCGGGGCTGCCCCTCTGCCCCGAGCCGATTGGCGGAGCGCGCCGGGATCCCGCCGGCGGGGGCGGTGCTGGGCGGGGGTGGCTGCTCGGTCACCTGCGGCCGGGGCGGCCCCGCCGCGCTCCGCCGGCCCCGCCGGGGCGGCCGCGGCGCCAGCGGGACGGCCGGGGAGAGCCGGGAAGACAAAGAGCATGGCGAGGGGAGGAGGAGCCTGCGCCGCGTCCCGCGCCGCGTCCCCCGCCGCGAAAGGCGCTCCGGGGGCGTACAATGCCCGGCGCGGGGCGGGCTCGCTTCCCCCCGCCCCCTTTCCCCGCCCCTGTGGCCGGGCCCGGCGGGGGGCTGGGCTGGGCTGGGCCGGGCCGGGCCGGGCCGGGGCGGGCTGGGCTGGGCTGGGCTGGGCTGGAGGCGGCCGTCTGGAGCGTGCTCACTGTCTGCCGCAAGTTTCGCCCGGAGTGGGAAAGTTGGGCGCGGCCCGGCAGGACCCTGTCAGGTAAGGAGCGGGCGGGGGTCCCGGTCACCGGCGGGTCGGGTGCTCGCTCTGCCTGCATCTCCCCGGCCGTGCTCGCTCCGCCGGCCGGGGCCGCAGGTGCGGCGGGACGGGGCGGCCGTGCCCGGCGGGGGTCAAGCAGCCCCCGGGGCTGGGAACTTTTTAGGAACTTTGAAGGCTGCCTACCCTTGTCCTTGTCTGGGCAGAGCCGCAGCTGCCCGCGGCACCTGGCCCGAAACCCGGCGGGGCTGACAGGGCCGGAGCGGGAACCTCCTGAAAAACTCATCCTAAAGTCGCGTAGAGTTACGAGCCTACCTGTGGAGAGATGCCGGGACCGCTGCCCTTATAGAAGGAAAACTCTGCAGCCTGTTTTCCTCTGGCGTCTGCACAGAGTGAGGCTCTCTGCTGGTTTTTCTCAACTCTTAAATGATTCTTTAGCTCTGCTCTTGAGTAAATATCGTTCATGTCAGGATGATTATAGTACTGTTGTGAGGCCTTGGTCAGGATTTTAATCCTTTTAGTTTATACTGAAATGGAGACCTTTTTTTTTTTTTTTTTTTTTTTTTTTTTTTTTTTTTTTTTTTTTTTTTTTAAACTAATGATCTGATCATGTAGTTTGAGGGGTGATTTAAATTAATCTGTACTTAGTGATAAGTTTTTTCAGCATTAGTTTTAAGATGTCTTGAGCTAGTTAGCTGGAGTTTGAATTCCCAGAAATGTTTAGAAGTGAAGAGATAAACTGCTGGGCTGCTTAAAGTCATGATTAATGTGTTCATAATTAATTCAGTTACAGTGCCGTCCCCCTCTTCCTCCTCCAGATTTATATCCAGACAGCTCAATTGCATATCAAAAGCCTCTTCTTATTTTCATATAGTAAATTATTAGACTTTCAGATTGTTCTTGCTCCTTTTCTTCTCCCTTTGCTCTCACCCTCAACAGCTGAAACGAAATTGTAGGGGAAGTGTTCCTGTGTACTTGGTTAGACACAAGTAATAAAGATAGCTTAGCAATAGAAAAGCCAGGAGCATAAATAGCCATTATTTTCTATCAATAATTAATTAGTTATCATCTTTACATCTGCACATGTAAGTATTGGATGGGTAAAATTTTAAGATGAAAGTGGCACAGCATCTCTGAAAGGTATTGTTACACATCACCCCAACTTAAGAAGAATATCTCTTTAAAACGTGTTGACATTTAATTGACCTTTGAAAGTTCATTCTGTTAATCATACTCAAAGCACTAAAGCTATGGTTGACTGATCTGGTGTTCGTACATTCAGCCGTGCTCAGCATATAAATTCTGCAGCATAATTGCTACTTATTGAGCAAGAGTTTCTTTTCTTCTCCGAAAATGAGAAAGTTTTGCTTCGCCTCCGGCTGGGTGCTACGGATAGAGTTGTGAATCCAAATGCTTTTCTGCCATCAGTTGATGTGGCGGGTGTGGCCTCCAGCCAGGCAAGAAATTCCTTTGCTGAAACTGTGTTTTTTTCCTTCCTGAGGCCGCACATAGGGCAAGGTAACCTTGAGGGTTACTGCTGTATCTACTTTGAGTCAAAACACAATGGGGCACTTCGCTTTTTTTTGTTTTAAGCTCTTCTATACTCCAGCTGTTTGGATGGAGAAGGCAGAATTTGAAAAGCTTGATTGCAAAAGATATACCCAGCCCCCGCTCCCCCCCCCAAAAAAAAAAAAACAAACTTGGCTCTTAAAATCAAATCTAATACACCCATGTTAAAACACGTACTACCTGCTTTATGGCTGTTGTCCATTGCTTTGTTGTAACTAAAGCTCATATCGAGTGGAAGCGTTACATGTGAACTCCCTGTCAAAATATCTGGGTAAAGATTAATTTCTACTATGTTCACTTTCTGTAGGATAGGCTTCCTGCAGAAATTAATGTTGTTGGCAATAGTTTTTGCGTGTTGAGATTTCTTGTGAATTCGTATCTTGAATTTATGAGTCTCTCTTTTGCCTCATGAGAAATGTTAAATGTCTGTGATTCCTAATAGATCATTAGCTCTTTGCTGTTACCATTGAAAACTAATTAATAGCTCTTACTCTTAATTATAAATCTACTTATAAAGTTAGAGCCCTGGCAGTGCTTCTGTACTTTTCTAAGCTGTTGTTTCAGTGCTGCTTTTGTACTGGAATCCCCTTACCTAACCATGAAGTCAGATGTGATGTTCAAGGTGCGTTTGCAGCCAAGTAACTGCCCTGACACTGCATAGGGTTAGGAGCTGTTAAAGCCCAGGGAGGAAGAGGCTGTCCTCTGAGCGAGTATTTTCAGCAGGGCTGCATTCACGAGTATGCAAGTGCTTTGAATACTAAAAAGTGATCCTGTGGCTGAGTTTTGTTTATTTTAGTGCAGTTGTTACAAGTGCCACATGTGATTCATTTCACTGATTCTTTAGAAAGCTGAGTGAAGATAAATAGACCAACAGCATGTCTGTAGTTTCAGTACAGTTGACAGAAGGAGGAGGCAAAACATCCAAGGTAGCTTAAGGGCTGGAGTGTGCAGATGCCTGACCTGCAGTTGCCCTGATGCCTATAGCCCAGAGTTGGCCCCTGCTTTGCCTGTATGACCTGCAGGGAAAGACCATGCAAGGTGTCCTCTGGCTGCCCTCAGAGGAAAACGATCAGAGTGTCTCAGGAACTAGCAGGACAGGTAGAGAGAGATCTGCTCTGCAGCTTAAATTTTATAGAGGCTTAGGTCTCCAGTCTAGATAGGTGAAGGTGTCAATCCATCTGTATTATTTGCAGTTGCAAACACTGTCCTAGAATGAAATGCCTGAGCAGGGTCTCCTTTTCCAAAGGTTCTTCTTTAGGTCATATTGCTGATTTGGGAGAGTGATTTGAATATGGTGCCCTCCTGGGTAACAGAAACTCCAGGGCTGAGCCTCTCCTGTTAAAAGCAGTGAACAAAACATGGATGGCATTACCACACAGTCACAGGAATTCAACTGGAGTAATGAAAGCTGGGTTCTGGGCTATGGCTGATACAGGCCTAGAGAGGGATTTAAACCTGAATGCTTCTTGACCTAGTCTTTGTATTGTACAAAAAGGTTCGTGGTGCAGCTGTTCGATTCCCAAACTCCTTATTTCATTGGGATAAAGGACAGATCTGGAAATTGCACTTTCAGAGGCATGTTCTTGCGTTTCAGCAGTTGAGGAACGAGAGGGCAAGCAGGGAATTTGAGAACTGCGTGGTGGTTTGGATGTGCGGTGCTGGTTCAAGCAGTGTTATGAAGGCTTCAGTGTTGGCACAAGTACCCGCTGGCAGAAAGTTGTGTGCTCAGAGGGTAGTAGCAGCCAAGCACGGATGTTTGAAGTTTTAATAATATCTAAAACTTCATCAGGCACCTAAACCCTTGTGGGTTAAGAGGAAGAGCCTTATGAAACTGATGGTTGATGTTCTTTGTGTCTGCACTCTGAGGAGGATAATGTGAAGTTATTCACTGAAAACTATGGCATTGCATGAAAGGAATGTAACACTGGGCCATAAATTAACAGGAACAGGAAAAGCTCATTCTGAACTCTGGTTTATTAATTCAGCCATTTGCATATATAAGCCTTCACAGCAAAAACAGATACTGTATAAATGTACCTTTTATAATAACAGAACCTACCACAGCAAATGGATTTTTGCACAGGAAAGTTCTCCCTTCTCTTTTAAATTCAGGTTTGTAGAAACTAAGTTTTACATTATTCTTTAAGATTGCTTCTGCCTTCATGTTGAAGTAAAACACATTTTAATGTGGTCTTGATCAGTGTTAGATCCACAGATGCCTTTCTTCTATAACCATTTGAAATTTTAGAAGCAAGTGTCGGGACTGCAAATGTAGACAGGTTTAGTTGCATTTTAACATACTTGTTGGTCAAGGTGAGCCCAAGCTATCCTAATGTGACATGCCTGACATAATCCCAAGGGGATTAGTTGTTAAGACATTTGAAAAATAAAGTCAGGTTTTGCTTCAGTGTTTTTCTTTAGTGACACATGTTCTATATAAAAGGTTTTGCAGAAAGTTGATAATAAACTTTTCTGTGAGTCTAAGCAAGTGAGAGCTGTTCTTGGAGCTGTCAAGAGATGTTCTAATAGCTCTAATTTTTAGCTGACTACAAAGGCTGTATTTATCCACCAGGGATTTTCCTTGCTAATAACCATTAAAAAAAGGTTTTTTTGGTAGGAAGCCATTTTATAGGTGTCCTCCTGCTTCCTTATCTGTTTCTTTTCTTGAACCTCTGGGCAGTTATTTCTGCTGTCAGAAGCAAAATGCAGTTACACAACCTGTTTGCATCTGTGGAAGGCTGTGTGGGTGCAGCACTTAGAGTAACTCTTTTGTGACTTAAATTGGAAATTTTGGGGTGAAGGTGTGGAAGGAGGATAACTTTAAGTTCCTGATGCCTGAAGTTAACAGTAGGGTTTCTTCTGAGTTTGTGCCTTCTTCCTTCCTCTCATTTCTCACATGTAGCTCTGTTTTAGCTGTTTCAGTGGGGCTCACTCTGCCCTTTCCTCTCACAGAACTTTCTAGTGTGTGCTTTCTTTGGCGTGTCAGTGTTGATTACTATGTTTTTTGAGCACTTTGGAGCTTCCACAGTGTCTTAACATTTATGTGTTTATGCTGGTAAGCCCTCTCTCCCCTTGCTTTACTGCTCAATCTAATGCTTTCTCCTCACTTTGTAGGACTGAATTGTTCCTCTCTTTTAACTTGATGATTTTTTTTTTCCATATGCATGTTAGTCTCTTGCAGTGTCTGCTTCTGGAAAGTTGGGAGGAAAAACCTTTTCAGGGGGATGAGGATACAGGTTAACATTAACAAGATTCAGGTTCATGGCCCTGTCAGTGTGATGTCAGCATTTTATCCAATAGGTCAGTGTTTAATTACAAACTGTGGGAACAAGCAAGTGTTTAACTACCTTGAGGCTGATGTTCAGCCTCATTCTGTTCCCCCATGCCATAAGCCTGGTCACACCCAGGGAAAGGGGAGGTTGTTGGAAATAAAT